AAGTTTTGTACTTGTAAAAAAATGTGTGTACTTGTAAAAAAAAGTTGTGTAACCAATGCTGAATTTGTCTCTGAAACATGATTTATTAGAAAAATGTTATGTGTTTGTTTGATAGATACGTTTTTTCTTTGCAAAACTAAATGCATTAGTTTGTAGATGGTGTTTTGTATTTGCATGTGTTTGTTAGTATTTGTTAGTGAATCATGAGGCATTTGTAAAACCTGTTTAGTTTGTTTGTGGAGTTATGGCAGGAAATTAGATCCATAGGACGCGCAGCGCAGCGTAGCAGGAGAAAAGAGAGGAAAACGGAGCGAGAAGCAGATGAGACCAGCGGAGTGATTCAAAGTTTATTTAAAAAAGATAAAAAATACCATCCACACCAGTGATGGGTACTGGTGGGGGCCACATAATTGATGTAATGGCCACCAGGGGGCTGCAGATTCACTTGGAACACACGCACACACACACAAATGCCATGTGTTGTATGTAATTATTAACAAATATACTAAGTCTGACATCTTCATTGACATTTTACTATCTTTCAGGGAACATCCTCTAATAAGCTCACTAAACAAATATCAGTTCTGTTGGGGCAGAACCTCTGCTCCGCGCCGTTCCTATATGAGTTTGTTTTAAAAGAAGGAAACTCAAAGCAACCAGGATAAGGGTTAAACAATAATCTGCTTTAATGGTAAAATACAACACAATCACGAAGTAATCCGGATTACTCCGGCTCTGGTTCCTCCAGCTGGAAGGATTTACCATCTTGGGAGCCGGAGGAAGAGAGAACGAACCAAAGACAGAACAGGCTTACATATAAGAACAAAACAGGAGGAGCTGTGTTGGATGCTCCTCCTTTCAGGTCATCTCATTGGGAGATGCAAAACGATGGCGTGTCGTAGCGAATCAGCGCGAGCCAGCCAAATGATCCGGAAACAAGAGTCTCTTAGGTTGTAGCAAAACAAACACATCTGGTGTCTGTTGTCACACATTCTTGTATAGACTCACACACACCCATCATGCAGCATTCCAGAGACCCGAGCTGTGTCCAAAGAATATTCCCTCGCTCACAAAGATTATGAATACATCCAAATACAAATGTTTAATTTCTCATCTTTCCAGCTTCTGGTTACACAGACTGCTATCATTAATACAAAGTAATTAAACACACACAGATATAGTTTGAGCAGTAATCCCATATATGCTGCAATGGACACACTTTTTCCCTTTAACGCACACACACATCTTTATCATTAACAGAAGTTAATTGTTCTTGTAGCTTAAGGGCTTCTGTGAACTTCCTTTCACCTCGAAGTCCGCTTTACTCTGAATACATTTATTGATAATTCAGACCTTAACTGTGTGACTCAATTCTCAAGGCCTACTTTGTCCCTTGAAATTTAACACACAGGAATATATAAAACCACACATATATTAGTGATAACATAATGCAACACACTTCTTATATATCAGGTGACATTAAAATGAACATACCAAAAATACGCTGTATTCAACTTTTTGCTGTATCACGTTACTTCAATTTTCTTCAGTTCACAGAAATTAAATTAAATGTTTACAAGTGGCATGTTTGTATTGAACAGGTTATTTAACAGTGGAATAAAACTATTTTAAACTGTTGGAAAGCACGGAAAATGTGTTTGCATTGAGATTAACCATTACAATGACATAAACATGAAGTCATGAACACTAACCCAGACATTAGTTGTCTAACTTGAACCTAAGACACTTGTAGCCTGTCTCTGCATTCCCCTTATTCCACAACACAGACATCTACCTGTCAACCCGCACTCTGCTGTTCCTCAGCGGTGCTCCCCCTCCCTCCCGCTGAAATTATTAATGAAAAGCGTATAGTAATCATAGATTACACGGCAGGTTCCGTGACAGTTTGCTTTCATCTGATTTAAAATAAACAAAGTCTTGGTTTTTAGAATATTAAACTTGTTTCGCCTTATTCAGATGATAAATACAACTTTTAAGCTTGTAAAGGCATAATTACAAGCGGCAACTTAACGTCACAGCAGGCATAACAACAGCCGGTGTTTCTTGTGAGTGTTTCCCGGGAAACAAACACAATACACACAAACGCGTCATAGATTATTTCATGGTATTTGAAATCATGTACGCAGCTCACGACGTAACTAGGAGTCTAGTGGACGGTATCAGTACTACAAGTAGAAAACATTAATATATATCTTTTTTTCTTTTTTTTAAAATTAATTACGTTGTTTATAAATGTAGCTGAGGGCCGCAAAAAGAGGAGGTGGGGCATGCGGCCCCCGGGCCGCCATTTGCCCATCCCTGACCCACACGGTCGGGAAACCCAGTAGACGGTTTAGAACATTAACCAACGGTGTTTTGGTCAGGTTTTTTGGACTGGATAAGAAAGTTGATCGATCGAGTTGTGTTGCGCGAGTGAGAGGACAACACACACGCGCTCTGATACAAGATGGCGAGCCAGACCCACAGACTGCTTTGATCTTCGCGCCAGTGTTTCTCAAGAGACAATAGGTGAACTTGCTGCCAGTGGTAGGAGTATTGGAGTTTATTTTTATTTGATCAGAACTGAAGAAATTATAAGTTGGAACTGGATTTAAGTTGTACCTGGATTGAAAGAGACACTAGCCTATATATTGTATTCTAGGTTTTCATTTGTCATAATGTTTTCATTGATGGTGCAATTGTGGTTTTTTCATTGAATTAGATATGTTTTACCTGTGAAAAGGGAAAAGAAAAAGAGTTAACTCAGGATATTAAAGAGATTAAAATAGGAACAACCTATAAATAATACTTAGTAGACCGGTCTAACCCAGAGTTTCAGCCAGGGGGTCGTCTTGCCGTCATTTGACGCCCTTATTCAGCTCGGGACGCCTTGAACTCGAGCCGAGGACGTCCAAAAATATTAATAATTCGAGAGAAGATCGAGAGTTTTTATCGTTTGAAATGACGAAAAGGAAAAAGGACAATCCCTCTGTTGGAGGGGCAAAGGAGTCTGGTGGGAATCTTTTCGGGGTATTGAAGATCGTTTCCCCGACATCGGCGGTGCCTGCTACAGGATTACACGGAACCTGCACGATTTGGAAGTGATGAGCGGTGCTAGTGGAGCACGCACGTGAGCTGCGATTACCAGAGCCTCGCAGCGGCGAAACTGAGGCTCCGTGGTAAAGTCTGGTAACATGAAGAGCCGTTTGGGAGCCGAAAGAGCCAAATGATCCGGCTCACTAACGTAAAAAGACAGTATCTTTAAGGGACGGTTCAAGTCCAAATTCACCCCGCTCTCGGGGTGGACGCCCTCTCAGCCCTGGTCTGACGGAAACACTGGTCTAAACCATTGGTTCTCGAACTTTTTTCAATAATGTACCCCCTTTGAAAAAAATATTCAGCCAAGTACCCTGATCAGCACAAAAACATTTTGTTAAGGAAAAAAGGCCTATATAAAGAGGTACAGTACAGTGCTGCACCATCGGTGTCTGATTTATTAAAACAACAACCTTGTAGGCCTAACTGAGAAACACTTCAATGCTGCATTTCAAATGTTTACAATTCATCACTAAATTCATGCAAACCAATTTTAACATCATGCAATAACACTGAGACGACATTAGTTGCATTGAACTGATCTTTTTAATAAGTTGTACAATGTATTGAGAAACATGGGCTTGTGCTTCACTGAGGATCTTTGTCATTCTGACAGGGAGGCAAACTGCAGTTATTACACTTCGTGTTTTGAAATATGTGTAACTCTGTTCATATAAAACCCACACTGCTCAAATTTCGTTACTTTTCCGAAAATTTGAATATTTATATATTTAGGGGCGTGGGGAATGAAGAGAAAAAAATATATGAGCATTTTATGAGCATGGGATTTTGACCCCTCATATAAACATATGCATAATGCTGCGCTATACTTTGCGGCCACACGCCATTGCCAAGCAACGCGTATTGTTTAGGTGTCCTTTGATAAGCAGGCAGTCATATCATTAGCTAGAACTAGCTAGATCTGATAGATTCGGACATAAACGCGAGTGAAGTCTAACCGGACGCGAGAGAGAGATCAGAGATCAGATCAGCTGCTGCTGACGGAGAACACGCAGCTCTACCGGATCACAGCTCCCCGCTGTGACGGACCGTTGAGTGGAGCAAAATACACTAAGAGTTAGCCCTAACACACTAAGCTAGTTTATCTACTCTGGAACAAGCTAAACTAGTTATAAATATATGTATTATTTACTGTCGGATCACTTATTACAGGTTCAGCGAGCTGCACGAGACTGACAGGCTGTCAGGAGAGGGAGAGGAAAAGAGAGCACCCCGTTTATTTTTCCCATTTTATTATCCAGAATTACTGTAAACCTTTGAATAAAGTAGTTGATCTACTATTAGTAGTTTGTTTAAATGCATTACTTATAAAATCTCACGTACCCCCTGCAGTACTCCAACGTACCCCTAGGGGTCCGCGTACCCCCATTTGAGAACCACTGGTCTAAACTAATATAGGCTATTTTATTTTATCCATACGATTTACTAAGTCACAGAAATCAGAAAACAAGGGAAAGGTGAAATACTTACCTCTGATCATACTGCAGAAAATATTCATTGTCTGTTTAATGTTTTGTCTATTTGTCTATTTCGCCAGTAAATTGCCGGCTGTTCTATTCAAACCACCTGGTCTCTGGTCTAATTACTTACCTGTCTATCCACTCTAGTAGAACTCAGAATCTTTCGAGTCAGATAGCATAGCCCAAGATAAGAAGTGTTACAACGTGTTACATTAACAAAGTGATTTACGCAGTAGAAATGCACCTTGGGAGCTGTAATTGACTCTTCCCCAGAAGTTTTTATGTACAGAAGCTTGTACCTTCTTCAACTTTTAATCAAGACACATATATTTGCTAATCTCAGTTGTTAATATTTTGAGATTTATACATTTAACTCTTACTTTTTTTGTAATCATCACATCCGTTTCTCTTCTTCTTCCACAGATGTTGGGACCAGACTATAAGAAGAAATGGTGGTTAGCAGCTCTCATCTGCCTTATCTGCTCTGCTCTTACAATCACTCTGTATTACAACGTTCGATCTCCTGTGAGCCCATGGGCTCCTACTCCTACTCCTACTCCTACTCCTACTCCTACTCCTACTCCTACTCCTACTCCTACTCCTACTCCTACTCCTACTCCTACTCCTACACCTACTCCGACAAAGCCCATAGTCCTGCTGTGGTTCTGGCCCATCGGTGTCAAGTTTGATCTCAAAGGTTGCTTGACCCACTTCAACATTGATAGCTGTGTTCTGACAGATGACAGATCCCTCTACAGCAAGGCCAAGGGAGTCATTTTCTACCATAAAGATATCTCCCATGGGTTACAAAACATGCCGAAGGGTCCACGTCCGACTTTTCAGAAGTGGATTTGGTTCCACGTAGAATCCCCGACAAACACAGCAAAGCTCCCTGGTCTGGACAACCTGTTCAACTTAACACTGAGCTACAGGAGAGACGCTGACATCACGGTGAGGAACGAGCTCACTATCAGGAAGACAGAAATGACAGAGGACTTTGTTTTGCCAAAAAAAGACAAACTGGTGTGCTGGATAGTCAGTAACACTGACCATGGCACTGGAACAGCTATGAGAGAGAAATATTATCATGAACTGTCCAAACACGTCGAAATCCACGTCTTCGGTGCAGCCTTTGGAGGGAAGCGTTTGAGCTACGAGGACTACTACTCCACCATAGCCAGCTGTAAGTTTTACCTGTCGTTTGAGAACTCAGTCCACAGAGACTACATCACAGAGAAGGTTAACGGGCCCCTCGTGGCCGGGGCGGTCCCTGTAGTATTGGGACCGCCAAGAGAAAACTACGAGCAGTTCCTTCCCTCCGACGCCTTCATTCACATCAACGATTTCCCTGATGCAAAGTCACTGGCACAGTTTCTGCTGGGCATGAAGGATGAGGCATACATGTGTTACTTTGAGTGGAGGAAGTTTTTCATGGCCACCCCTCATCTCCTGTCCGCATACAACGAGTTCCTTCAGCCCATCTGCCTTGCCTGCGACCACATGTCAAGAGACCGGGATTTCCGTGTAGTTCATGACCTTTATAAGTGGTACTTTACATGAAAATGCCAATAAAAACAACATTTGAAAGTGGCTCAGACACATGTATATTCATTACTAGATTCTTTAATATTGTACCTTTTGTCGAGATCTTGTGGGCACTGTATTTTGTTTAAAGTATTTGTTAAAAACTGGTTGAAGTCATATTCTAATGCCAACACAGCAGTACCATTAAGACTGGACACATTGATAAACTTCATAATCCTGTATTTACACTCCAGTTTTTCTAAATAGACAAGATATAACATGTACAGTAACTTGTAGAGGTGTTTATCCAACACACTCTCACTCCATAATCGTCCAGGAGTGACGTTTGGTCAGTGTCCGTGGCGTGCAGTTGTGACGCTCCTAGGCTCCTTCAGCTTCATAAAGGGACGCAAATAGCTTTCAACTGATTGCAATGTATTCCCATCTGCGGCGGGATTTGACGCTCATGGAAGCACGGCATTCGTTTGTGTCGGCTGCCCTTAAAGGCAATGTGAGCGTCCATTCTCATTGGATAACGGAGAATTGTACACCCGGAAGTAAGTATTCCCCTTACTGTCGATTGATTTTACAGTGATATCTGCACTACTCATCGACTAAAAAACACCAGATTATCCTTGTTAATTACACAACATTGATTGGTTTAAATTGTGTGCAATGCTTTTGTATTTTTCCCCTTCGATTCGGAGAAACAAATATTTTTTCGGAGTAAAGGATGGCAGAAGACACTACACTACCCAGAATCCCCAGCTATCGTTTGAACTACACCATGTGCTCTGTTTGACAAACCCCGTTTTTTTTCACCATTCATTCCAATGGCTGGCGTCTATGTCACGTGATCTTCAAATGTCTCCCCGCAGAAAAAAAAAACATGGCCGAACTTCGTTTTATTCTCGGTGGAAAATGCCTATTTTAAAGTTAGTTTGGCCATTAAAATGCGTTTTGATGTCATTTGATGCGAGAAATATGAGTTGTTATTTCAAATTATGTGTGCAGTGGATGTACATGATCTTTAGTTTGCTAGTTATTACGAAGATTACTTCAGGAAATTGCGTCCATAGAACGTTTTCATTGTTACCAAGGTGGTTGCAAGGGACGCTGATTGATTGATTGATTGAAAAGTTTATTAACAGCTTGTATATTGGGTACAGTACAGTACAGCTCAAAACATACAATTGTTAAGGGGATGCAGACCAGAGAAAGACTTTCGTCTTGTTTACATCAGGGTCCCCCATTTCCAATTCATCATATCATTTAAGACATATAAGACATATTTGACATACAGATTGCTTATTTACAATTTTCATTTTAGATTTCGTTCTAATACATCCTAACCGGACATTTAAGACATACCAAATCTACAGATATACAGTTAGTAACAGAGTCTAAAATGCGAGTATATACTGTACATAGATGGGGGGGGGGGGAAGCTGTCCATTGTACGACAGGTTGAGATTTGTACCATTACCGGGGCCAGTTTTGCAATGCTCTCCCCCGAAGGTGCTCTTTAAGAGAGGTTTTGAAGGTAAGTATAGTTTTACTTTCCTTTACAGTTGTGGGAAGAGCGTTCCACCTTGATGTGGCATAATTGCGAAACGTGTATTCCCCCTTTTTTGTGCCAAATCTGGATTTCACATGATTTGTGGAGCTCCCTCTGGTGTTATGATCATGGTATTCCTTGACCTTTGGGAAGAGTTTTGACATGTACATGGGTACCGTACCATAGAGGTGTAGTGGATCTTGTAGACCAGGCCCATTGCAAGTAGCTGTACTCTGTCGTCTACTCTAAGCCATCCTAGGTTGTCAAAGTGGGCAGAGGTGAGGTGGGTTCTAGATGAAAGGTCAAGCAGTAGTCTGACCAGTTTATTTTGCGATGTTTGAAGTTTTATTTTTAGCGCCTTGAATGTGCTATGGTACCATGACGTGCAAGCATAGTCATAGTACCCTTGAATGAGTGCTCCTGCCAGAGTTTTCAGGGTGTTTTTGTTTACCAGAGAGGAGATCCGGTATAGGAATCTAGTTCTTTGATTGACTTTTTTTATTACATTGGATGCCATTTTATCACAGGAGAGGTTTCCCTCAAGAATAGATCCTAGGTATGTAATTTCCTTCTTACTTGTGACAATAACAACCTGATCTCACCAGAATGTGTGACTCCACCACGACTCCTTAACACCACATTGCGTGGTGGAGTCACGCATTCTGTTACATTTACGTGTCGGCACCACGCAAAAAAAAACAATGTAAATTGAATGAGGCTCTTTTGTCGTGGTGCACACACGCATTTCTACAACGTCCCGCAGTGAGCTTTTATTCTATAAAACGTTTTTAAAATCTACTATATAGCTTGTAGTAACTCACGGGAGGCTTCTTTTATTTTATTTGTATTCATAATAATTTTTATTTTTCGTCAGAATGTAAAAATTACATTAGTTACGAATTTTTGTTCTCAAAAAACAGTGCCCATCGACGGCACACTATTCAAAACAGGAATCGAACGTGTCCTATCCCCCCCCCCCCTTAGGTCGCAGGCTCCTCCAACAGTGCAACACAACAAAACAGATACACAGAAAAAATAGTGAAATAGTGCAATAAGAGTCTATACAGTATACAAGAGATTGGAATCTTTTTTATTTTTTATTTAACCTTTATTTAACCAGATAAAAGCATTGAGATACAATCTCATTTTCAATGCTGACCTGGCCAAGAAGGCAGCAACATTACACATAACACATAACACACACATATAAAAGAGAACATAACTAAGAAAACAAAAGACAAAAAAGCAGTCACTACATTGTGAATATGATATATTAGATAAATAATTTCTAAGTAGCAGCCAGATGAATGTTATGGATGTTGTTTCTAAGTTCAGGTGTTTAATAGTCTTCTGGCCTGTGGGATGAAGCTGTCCCTGAGTCTGGTGGTTTTAGTCCGGATGCTGCAGTACCGCCTGCCAGACGGCAGCAGACAGAACAGTTTGTGGCTGGGGTGATGGGGGTCTTTTATAATGCTGAGGGCTTTCTTTAAGGTTAACGTGGTGTTTTTACTCCACTACATTTATATTATTTATTGTTACTTTACAGATTTGGATTAATGATGTGAAATATAAACAACCCTTAAATCAGAATTTAGTTACACCTGAGTAAAATTCAGTGAAGGTGATTGTCAAGTGCCAACAATCAGGAGAGATATTTGATAGTTGGTGCTCGAGAAGACTAAACATTTATCTGCAGATCCGTATAAAGCATATTCATTACTCGTTATTCTCTAATCGTTCATTAAAGACTGTATATAATTGATATTTTGCACATCCCTTTCAAGATTTTCAAAGGTTTATTGACATATCATATACACAACTACGGTGTAGTTATGCAATGAATGCAAAACTTGGGTCACAGGTTCCTCAACAGTGCATTACAAGACATCTATCAATATGTGTATACCTCCACCATTAAACTGTCATATTCTGCACATTTATTATTCTATCTAACATCTTATAAGAGTATAATAAATATGTATAATATCGGTTAAAATAAGTGCTTCAACATAGTTAACATTGCTGGAGGTATGCACAAATATTGATAGATGTCTTGTAATGCACTATTGAGGAACCTGCGACCCAAGTTTTTCATTCAATGCATAACTACACCATAGTTGTGTAGGCCTACATTGCAGGAAAGTTGATTGTCAAGTTCCAAAACAAACCATGCAATATATTAGACGTTAAGTACTTTGTCAGGCTTAATAAGTATCTGTAGATAGATACCCCCAAAGCTTTTTTCTTATTTAAAAGAAGACCTTAGCCTAAAGTATTCTTTAATGTTTAAATAAAGCCTTATTAGTTTGTTTGTTTTGCACATCCTCCTATCAGGCACTAAACTGTTTTTATTGTAGATATTATTTAAAGTATCTTCTTGATATTTTCTATTCTATATTTATATCATTGACCTTCTACTTTCCCACTATTTTGTATGTACTCTTAATATTTAAATGTTTTCATCAAATATAACACATTCAAAAGTGCTTAACAAAAATGAAAGACATTAAGAAAAAGGCATTTTAAACAGTCATTAAAAAGCAACATAATCTACCTGCATTGCAATTACTCCAAACGTGTAATAACGTGCTTTAACCAGTAGGAGGTGCGGGTTAAAAAACTGTCAAGTTTAAAGTGTTAACAAAATAAAATATACTGCTGTTTCTGGTTTAGTTTACGACGGATATATTTTGTTATTGTTTTGATATTTGTAACACAAAAGCGATGGAAAAACCCCACAGCAACACAGAAAATATGGTCTTAACATGACCCAGCGGTCTAGTAGTTAATAAAAAACAATAATATCAAAACAGATTATTACTACTAACTTTATTGTGAAATTAAAACAGAACTTGGTGTTTTTGAGTCGATGAGTAGTGCAGATATCACTGTAAAATCACTCGACAGTAAGGAGAATACTTACTTCCGGGTGTAAAATTCTCCATTATCCAATGGGAATGGACGCTCGTAATACAATAAAGGGGACATGATCATTATCTTTTAAATAACGTTAACTAAAGGGAACAATCTATTTGACACAGCTGAAGCTCTGGCCTTCCTTAAAAACTAACTAATTTAATAAAAATCACAGTTGTATTACACACAATGCACTGTTTTTTTAGAACAACAATTCGTAACTAATGTAGCCTAATTTTTACATTCTGACGAAAAATAAAAATTATTATGAATACAAATAAAATAAAAGAAGCCTCCTGTGAGTTACTACAAGATATAAAGTAGATTTTAAAAACGTTTTATAGAATAAAAGCTCACTGCGGGACGTTGTAGAAATGCGTGTGTGCAGGGCCGCCCCTCCCTACAGGCCAATCACGCAGGCTGCATGGGGCCCCGCCTTGCGCAGGGGGCCCCGCCCAGAGGGCCTCAGCTGCTGTGCGCAGTTCTCCGCTCAGTTCTCCGCTCAGTTCTCCGCGCACCCCCGCGAGAGTGAGAGGTGACAAGGGGAGCACGTGTGTAACCCGACACCGTTGCAATGAATCGACATCTGACC